GGAAAGGAAAGGAAAGGAAAGGAAAGGAAAGGAAAGGAAAGGAAAGGAAAGGAAAGGAAAGGAAAGGAAAGGAAAGGAAAGGAAAGGAAAGGAAAGGAAAGGAAAGGAAAGGAAAGGAAAGGAAAGGAAAGGAAAGGAAAGGAAAGGAAAGGAAAGGAAAGGAAAGGAAAGGAAAGGAAAGGAAAGGAAAGGAAAGGAAAGGAAAGGAAAGGAAAGGAAAGGAAAGGAAAGGAAAGGAAAGGAAAGGAAAGGAAAGGAAAGGAAAGGAAAGGAAAGGAAAGGAAAGGAAAGGAAAGGAAAGGAAAGGAAAGGAAAGGAAAGGAAAGGAAAGGAAAGGAAAGGAAAGGAAAGGAAAGGAAAGGAAAGGAAAGGAAAGGAAAGGAAAGGAAAGGAAAGGAAAGGAAAGGAAAGGAAAGGAAAGGAAAGGAAAGGAAAGGAAAGGAAAGGAAAGGAAAGGAAAGAACAAGCCTAACCAATACTATGTCTTGTCCAAGATGTGGAGAATCTAGAGTCTTTTACTTTGCTGGTGAGATGTAAAATGGTACAGCCTCTTTGGAAAACAGTTGGCAGTTTCTTAAAAGTTAAACATTCACTCACCAAACAATCTAGCAATTTCATAAGTTATCTACCTAAGAAAGAGAAAAGCATGTCCACATAAAGACTTGTACATGAATGATCATAACAGCATTACTCAAACAAACCAAATGACATCAACAAAATGTCGTATATCCATAAAATAAAGTACTATTCACCAATAAAAAATAATGAATTACTAACACATACAATATGAATGATCTTCAAAAATATGCTGAGTAAACACAAGTCATAAAGGCTATATATTATATGATTCTATTTATATAAAATTTCTAGGAAAAGCTAAACTATAGTCACAAAACAGGTCAGTAGCTGCCTCATGCTGGGGGTAGAAGAGGAGAGGTTACTGCAGTCACAAGAGAACTTTTGGGGTGAGTTATTCCGAGGGCTTTCTTCTGTGAAGTTAATGAGTTAACTTACAGATTGTGCGCATTTTCATTTATCATCAGTCTACAACTCTTGAAGACAACACCTGGGCTCAATACTTTCGCACTTCTCCAAAATAAATGAGTAAGACAGAAAGTATGTGAATGAACAAAAATGTACATCTAAAATTGTATGGCTGTGTAGAAGTTATCAGTGAACATGCACTTGTTATAACTATTGCCTTTCTTCAACAGGGTCAAGGACAATGCTCCAAAAAGGGGGACTATAAAGTGAAGGCCAAAAGTTCCTTGGGAGCTCTAGAGAGAATACGCAAACTGAAGGCCTTTATATAAACAGCTGAAGAAAAAGAAATAAAATACTGTATTTGGTATGAAAGGACAAATAGAGTGGTATGATTGGTATATCGTAATAGAAGGAACCCTAAAAAAGGAGTCATGGATGACAGGAAGATTACATTCTTAGGACTGCTTCCTAAATAACTATTAAGTTCAAACTTAACAGAGTTCAAACTAAAAGGAAAGGGGGGGGTGATATTATAGTATAATAAAAAAATATACATATTTGGTCTTGTCCCAGTTTCCTGGCACAGAGCTCCTAAAACCCTAGGCATTTCCAGAGTGATAGGGGTAACGAGAGTATCTTTTGTTATTCATAAGCCCCTTTCAACCACAGCAGAGTTTGTTAATAAGGTAACTCTTGGTAGGCCCCTAGATAGCTTCAGGATAGGGGCCAATTACCATGTGATTAGAGGCTCGTAACTTTCAGCCACCAACCTCCAGGTAGGAGAGAGGGGCTGGAGACTGAGCTCAATCAATAATGGCTCATGATTTAATCAATGGTGCCCAGGTAATAGAGCTTCTATAACCCCCTACAGGACAGGATTTGGAGAACTTTCCAGGTTGGTAAACACAATGAAAGTGGTGTACCCAAAGAGAGCATGGCTACCTGATACCTATACCAGAGGTGCATTAACTCCCCAACTCCCCGCCACAACCTTGCCCTGTATACCTCTTATATTTGGCTTTTCCTGAGTTGTATCCTTTGTAACAAATGGATAAACATAGCTGCCTTCCTGAGTTCTGTGAGCCATTTTGGCAAATTATCAAACCTTAGGAGGGAGTCATGGGAACACCTATTTATAGCTGGTTGATCTGAAGTACAGGTGGTCAGAGAACTGCAACTAGCATCTGAAGTGAGAGTGGTCTTGCATGACTGAGACCTGGTAGAATCTAACTGTGGGTACTTAGTATTAGAATTAAAATAAATTGTTGGACACCCAGTTGGTGAATTAGAAAATTCATTGTTGGTATAGAAAAACATCCCAGAGGATGGAAGGGTAATAAGCAGAAGTCCTCTTTTTAAGAATATCCATCACTCCCCGCCCCAAATTCCTCTTAGGTCCCCTCCTTTACCAGTAAGTCCTCATGCAAATGAGTTGACTACAAATTTTGTTATCTCAAAACCTTTTTCACATAGGATCTTAAACTTCAGAAACACAACACTTATAACAACAACAAAAACAACAAAATCAGGCTTTAAAATGTGAAAGGAAACCTAGATATTCTTCTTCATACTGTGTATTTAAGGGAAAAAACTAAAAACAAATATGTATGACTTACTAAGTAAACTGTCTAACATATGCACATCCAAATCTGTGGATTTCTTTTGCTGCTGGGCTACTAACTGGCAAAATTCCTGAGCAGCTCGCACAATATCTGCTTTTCCATCTTCTGCAGACAGGACCTTCACTGCCGATTGGCAATTTAAAACTGGAGGAAAACACAAACAAGACATTATAAAAACACCCTCTTCCAGATATATTTCAAAATCAGTTTCAAGATATATTAAGTTCAGACCCAAATAAAGGTACATTTCTTAAAGGACACAAGAATCATTTAAGCCCTTCAATTTCCATATCAAAACATACTTAAGCTTACTTTCCTCTGAAAGGACCCACACACATCACATTTGTGTATGTATTTATATACTGCCTTCTTTGTAAAGTACTCAAAATGACCTTATACCTGTGAATAAATCCTCTGGCAAATAGGAATTTTAATTATAGGGTAAATTACAATTTCTGTAAGTCTAAAACAGCATCTACAATTATATTAGTTAGTAGTAACAAAGGATCAAAGACAAAAAATGTCTTTTAATAGATGTATTGTCTATAACACATACCCACCTTATCAAATTTATGATTCTATCCAAGATATTTTACAATTGACAGGATTCTAGATAATGATAGCAATGCCAAATTCTTGTCTAAAGAGATTCCCGCCAACCCCACATAAAAACCATTTCAACATTCCTAATCTAGAAATGTGTTCACTCTTTGGATTCTATTTTGAACAAGTTATAAAATCTGCCTGGTTCCTGGTGGCTTATGAGTTAAATAAAATCTTTAACGTGTTTATTTTTTAATATCTATGAAAGTGATGATTTTACCTTTTTCTGAAAATTATTAACAAACTTAATAAAGTCTAAATCTGATGATTAAAAATGGTGACAATAAAGGCTAACAGGGTGAAATGAATGATTAAATGAACAAGTGACAGAATTTGCCTTGAACCATAAAACATGTCTGCTTGTGTTAGATATTCAACCTTATATTCAGGCTTACCTTGATCATCTTTGTCATTACTATTTGCAAACTCTGTTGAGTATTTGGAGCAATCTAAGCCCAGAAGTTCCTGCTGCTGTTTTAAAATTTCATCCATCAATCTGGAATTATTTCTTTTGAAAATACCTTTTAAAAAAAACACAACAAGTAAATCCCAAATAGGGTAATTTATCCTCTTTAATAAATAGTGTATATTTGCTGTGAAAACAATGCTGGATCCAGAACTGAACAAATGCGAAATGTAGTGATGACTAATTCTAAACTAGAATTCTGAAAGGAAATTATAACAATAGAACTTGGTTAACATAAGAACCTAGCTTCAGGCTAATGTCCAAAACAAAACAAAACAGAGGTAACTATGTGGTATCAATATAAATATGATAGAAATTTAGACCTAGAAAGAAATTTTAAGAGATTTACTCAACAACTTTATTTACAGATTATGAAACTGAGACCAAATGTCCTCAAGGGTCTCGTCCAAGAATTTATAAACTGCAGCAGTGGTCTACAGTACCTATCTTCCAAATTCCTAGCCTCATATAATTTCCTTGCAGATTTACTATGCATATTCAAAACTATAACCTCAATTTGATTAGTTTTTTTAATGGTAGAGGGGCCAATATGAATTATGTAAAAAGTAGAAAATAGATAACACTAACAAAATTTAGTAAATTCGGCCCTGGCCAGGTAGTTCAGTTGATTAGAGCATCATCCCCATATGCCAAGGTTGAGGGTTTGATCCCTGGTCAGGGAACAGGCCAGAATCAACCAGAGTGCAGAAATAAATGGAACAACAAATCAATGGTTCTTTCCCTCTCCCTCCCTCTCTGTCTCTCTAAAAATATCAATCAATCAATCAAATTTGAAAAAGAAAATTCAACGAAGTGTGGACATATGCCATGTAAAACTGATCTGATTCTCCAACCATGCACAGGAAAGTTAAAAATTTGTCATGCCATCGAGAAGGGTGAAGGAACGATGTGACATACCTTTAACATAAAGCTAATATAAAGAGCCCTAACTAAAAACAAATGACAAGTTTTGGTTATTTTCAGAGAAGTCTACCTTCTAGTGGCCATTGCTTTTTTGGCCTTTACCAAGTGTTCCTCTCAGTCAGATATGATTTTAAAAGAGTTCAAAGATTAACTGGGAGAGAGAACATAGTAAATATATAAAAATAGCACAGAAGCTGCTTAATATGCTTTATATAAATACCAACTTGGTAGTATACATGTAATAGCAGTTCAAAGACAAAAGCAGTCTCCATTGGTAGGTAAAAGGCTTTAAAAAATACGCAACACTTGAAAGAAGAAAATGGAAAGGACATTTAGATGGAGAAAATGCTTAAGAAAAAACATGGAATGCTCAAAAGACAGACAAATGCTGCCGGTGCAAAGGATCTGAGAAAAGGGGCAAGGGGGCAGTCCTAATTTTTATTTCATTTTGTCTGCTCAATGGGTAACCAACAATTTCTGAGCAATGTGGAATGTGTGGAAATCTATTTCTTCAAGAAAATTAACCTGGTAACAGTACAGAGAAGGCCAGTAAGCAGACCACTGCAGAAGTCTATACATATTTTGATAAAGCAATGGAAAAGGATTCACTACAAAGGAAGAATTGATAGAATAAAGAGATGACTTTAATTTAGAGATGAACGCAGACATTTCCATGGCTTTAATCCCTGGTATTAGAAAATGAGAACATCTCTTTGTTTTAAGTAGAGAAATTTTACAAAGAGAACTGGTTTGAAGGAAAAAAGTTTACTTTTACATAGCTGATGATAGAATATTTGGATAAGAGTTTATTGTAAAAGTAATTAAGAGACATGGGGGAACAATGTTCAAAAGAGGTTGTCATGTGAGTACCACATGGGTAGCAATCTTACCTGTTTTTTTTACTGGGAGCCAGCATAGTGCCTGGTACAGAAGACACTCAACAAATAAACATCTACTAAAAGAAGATGACAAGTCAGAGACTGGCTGGGGGACTGGGAAAGGCCTCTTTAGGGCTAAGCAGCTTTTCAGCTGGCCCCTGAAGAATTAGGAGAATTTTCTAGGTGTGAGGATGGAAAGGTAGCATAACAAAAACGGAGACGGGGATGTAAATATACATTCAGGAGTCATCCTCCTTAAGGCAAGAGCGACACACAGAAGAAATAATAAACATAATTTCCAAAGGTAACGGAGTATGCATGGAGAAGAGCAGAGGGCTAAGAATGTCGCTCCCTAACAAAGACCACAATCATTAAGACTCTCAGCTGGGAAAGATAAAGGAGAATATTTTGTAACAACTATGTCCAGATCAAGATTAAACACAACAAATATATTCCCAAACACAAAGAAAATTCTTAAGGAAAGTGATTTATATCAGGAGCTATTTGGAAGGCAACTATGCTCACCACCTTAACACCAACATCAACTCAGGAGCTATTTGACTAGCACTGTTTAGAACAGTAATACTTGTATAGTAACACAGGTGTATAGAATATAATCATTAGCCTCAAGTCAATAATAAAATTCACATGTATTACACAAAAATAGCATATAAACTTTTGATACAGGCTTACAACGGTTGCTGGGTTTCCAATTTCCTATGCAAAAAAATAAAAACTTAGACCACACTTTGGTCTATATCGTAGTTATAAATTGTGGAAGGCATACAAATTTCAAAATTTAAAAACATCAAATTTCTACAACACTACTGCCAGGACATAAGTTTATTAAAAATAAAATGTTAAATAAATCTATTTACCTTCCCATCCAGATTAAAATGGGAAAGCTTTTCAGAAACTTGCTCTCTCCAGTGCAATGATGACACTCTTCATCAGCAAAATGGTCCACACTTGTGTCTTTATTCTTTCCTTCTCAACATTTCTGAAGCATTAACACTGACCACCCTGCTTCCTTCCCAAAATCCTATCCTCATTCAAGCTTGTCTGAATGTCCTCTCCCTGTTCACCTTTCAATCAGCTCCTTGAACGGCCCCTTCTCAATTTGCACTACATGCTTTTCCTCTTTCCAACACCCTCCCATCCCCCATCCAGTCCCAGTCCCTGTCCCTATGTCAGTCCTCTCTTTCTGCCCAAGCACTCCTCCTTCTCTGACCCTAGTTACTCATAGGATTTTAAAACCACTCCAGACCAGGACAGGGTAAGATAAGTGATGCAAAATTTAAGGGGTTGCCCAAAGCTCAGTGATTAAGATAAACAATAAATTAATGCAAAACATCCATGAACAAAACATTAAAATTTTAAGTAAAAACGGGATTAGCATTTGGTTCCTATCATTTCCAGTTCATTCAAACATCTAACCCTACCCAAAAGTTCTGTAAGCATCTGAAAATGAACACATCTAAAATACAGCAGTTTATATTTTAAAGACCTTGTATTACATCAAGTTAAAAAAAAAAGAGAGTGAAACTTGTATGCATTTAGGGACAAGGCCTGGAAGAGAAAAGGCAATATGAAAACAGTAAATATAGAAGGGTGGTGGGAAAACAGGTGATTTAAAATCTTAACTGCTGTTTATATAACTAATAAATAAAAGAAAAGCTTAGCCCTTCTTCTTGTTCTTTTTCTAATAAAAGCATCACTACTTGCCCAGTCACCCCAGGCATCTTCTCTACTTTCTAGCATATCACCACCACCTCTTCAGTCCCCTATGAATATGCAGAACCCACATACTCTTCTACAGCAATGCTTCCTGTACCCATTTCCTCTTGTCCATCTGACATCATTGTATTTAGCCCAGTTATTAATTAACTGGAAAGGAACAAAGGGAAGGCCAAATATTATAGGCATGCCCATAATAAGGTCTGGGTGACGTAGGGAAGATGATTACCTGTCAGTCACACCTGAGAGCCAGAATAGGCGTGGTCACTCCAAGTGCAAAATGATTTGAGCTACAGAAGCTCTAGAACAAAGGAGTTCCCCTCTCTTGCTCTCTTGGGACTCCTGTTGCAGGGGGGTGTTCTCACACTCCTGCATTGTCCACATGGCTCAGGGCCATGTGAACCCCACACAAAATGGACTAATGGACTATAACTAGTCTGATGCTACACGGGACTGTCTTTGCTCCACTTTGGAATGGAAACTCTGAACACTGGCTTTGCTTTTAGCTCTGCTGGATCCCCAACTGCACTGTTCCCACGGCTGGTTTAAGGGAAATGGGACTTTGCAACCTGAGGGATATAATACCATCTAATAAAGCTTTCTACCACATCTTACTGTCCCGTGGTGGACTGGGGAAATTCTTATTCCAGCGGCACCCCAAGAATCTCACTCTCACTACTAACGGAAAAGGGCAATTCATGCAATTCTCCGATAACACATTGTCCCCACTGTTTCAAACAACAATCGTCTTTATAATATTACAACCACCTTCTAATGCATCTTTCCTGCCCCTTCTCATGTATTGCTAGACTGACTACAAGATTAATCTTCTCTGGGTATATCTTCAATCCTGGCATATTCCAACTTTATTATCGTCAATGGCTCCCCAAATACTGAATGTATTAAGAACAAGCTGGTCAGATCAACATTAACATTCCAGCCTATGCTTCCATACTTGGTGGGAAATAATTTATACTTATGAAATAAATTAATCTTTCTATTTCTCTATAGTACCATATTGCCAGCAAGTTAGATTGCCTTCTATTTCTCCAAAAACACAGGAAGTGACACCAACTGTGAACCTTTGTTATGTTACCTATGCAGCCCCACACCTGTAAAATTCTACTAATTCTTCACAGGCCAGCTGAAATGTCACTTATCCTCAATCCACCAGCCAGATGTGCCCCATTCCTCCTGACTCTCACCCCCTCCAAATACACACATTTTGTTTACACTCCTTAACAGACCAATATTGTACATTTTATTACAGTTACAGTTTAACCCCAACCCCACCCACTAAACTGTACTTTGTTGTGAACTTGTCTAACTCATCTCTTTTCCCCTAGGGCACCTTCCACATAGCAGGAGTTCAATGTTTATTTAATAAACTGAATTATCGGTGCACAAAATGTCACCTAACAACAGCAAAACCTAAATGAACATGTCACTGAATGGAATTTTTTTTTAAATTTCCGAGAACTTCTCACAACAAAAGCAGATACTTCCTTATTGCACA